AATTGGTGTAAATAATCCTATGTCACCTTTAGAATATATAAATCGTCTTTTTATTTTAAGAAAATTTGCATTCTACCTTTTTAATTATCCACTTGAGTAAGATCAGTTTTTAATCTAACTGGAAATTCAAACAAATATGTAAGGGAGGACATTTGTTCTAAGGTTATCATGATTTCGATTTTCTTCTTTAGGGCAATTATGTATAAGCGTATCTTATTTTGTAATAAAACAAATTCGATGTTTTTTCTAAATATTTTATAACTATAGGCTATAAAATAAATTCTAGAATGATTGATAAGGTTGTTAACTATTCCTTCAAATTAGATATTATTTTTTCTACTAACCTAGTACTATACATTAACTATGCCTTAAGGGATTTAGATTTAATACTTTTTATCGAGTATATCAATACTGCTAAAATATTAACATGTACTTTAGGGTTAATCAACATAATATGGGAATTACTCAGGAATCTATTTGTTGTGGAGTTATTAGGGTTTATGCTGCGTTATAAGGTATATATTAGCTAGGACCGTATAATACTATTAACTATAAATATTAACTATTTTGTATCCCTCATCACTATTATCCTTATTTATAAAATAATCTAAGAAAGGGGCACAAGAAACGTAAAAAGAGTTAAAATTTATTTAGATAAATTTTCTTTAGAATTCAAATAATCAATTTGTATTATAAATCTTATACGAAAAGTTATTAAGTCTTATAAATCGGGTTAAATTCGTTGAAATAAAAAATTATATTAAAATATTATATTTACACTATTTGTAAATATATTCATCGCACTAAAAAGGATTTCTATGCTAGTGTCTTGGCTACACACACAAGGCCATTATATCTTATAGGCAGGACATACTTTCTACAATCAAGAGTTTGCCTAATTTTTTCGTAAAAAGCCATTTATCTCCTGTTTTCTTTTATATATAAATGTTAGCCAAATAATATTTTCATCAAGAATTAAATAAATAATATTTCTTATTTCGCTTATAACTTCTTTTATTTGGCTAGTGGATAAACGTATTCATATAAATTTCAGGTTTTAGGGTTAGATTATATGTATAAACTAGATTTTCTTTAGGCCCGTAGAAAGCTCAAGTTTCATTGCGCATTTATGGGAAATTTTAATGCAACAATTATTATTATTTGTGAACATTAAGTGTGGATTATTAAGCTTTCTTAGTTAGATATTTTATATGAAAAGAAATTTATTAAGATAAAGCAAGATTTTTTGGCTTCAGATGGGCTTGATCTTCAAATTTTGCTTAATACATTATTAATGATTAGGAAAAGATGAGAAAATTTGATAAGTTTGGGAAACTAAAAAGAGTTGACAAAACTAGATAACTACATCATAAAATCAATCTTGATATGAATATACTCTCCTATGATTTTCTAATTAGGTATTAGGATTGGAAAATTTGATGCTATAAGATTTCTTGATATTTAAAACATTAGAATACAAGAGCTCTATAATTTAAAGCAGATAATTTATAAATACAACTAAAAAAACCCAATACATTGTCCTATTAGGCAATAAGATAGACTGACATTTTATATCTAGGCTTTAAAATGGGGACCCATGTATCAAGAAACGTAGGTATTTGGTGTATTATTTCATAGATAAATAGGTTTAATGAAAATGCTGTGCCTATCTTTTTAGCTTAAAGGATGCGACAAAGAGTGCTTATTATTAACTGAAATACCTAAATATATGTACATTGTTTATCATAATCAAATAATTTGAATAATGTGATATATTTAAAATCTTAATTGTATGAAATCTACATTACAATTCTATATTAAAGCACAGAATATCTTGGATTAATATATCTCATCCTTGCAATAAAAGTTTTAGGTAAGCTTGTTTTCAACTATGCTAAAAGGCAGTAAATCCCAAACGTAATACAATGACTAAATTTTGCCAGAATTTATTTGTCAGCTAAAGTTTATTTATGAATATAGTCCATATTCTTAATTCACCTGTAATTTATAGTATAATTCGCATGAGGGGAAAGAGATGTATTGAATATGGATATTTGGACAATTTTCTGGCTAATTAGTGTCCCCAAAGCTGCGTATAACCAGCTTATGATATTTCGAATTTTTAAAATGTTTTAAGATTAGTTTTGTATTGTTTTACTTATTCTATGCACTAGTTTCAGCGGCTTATGAAATGTTACCGGCATTCGAATATATATATATATGAATTCCTTTTAACTCAGCAACCTCGATAAGGAATTGGTGTTAATATATTGGGGCTTAACTAAGCAGTCTGTACATTAGCCTCAAAACACATAAATGAATGATGACTGCCTTGAATACTCTTTTATGAGAAATTAGACGTAGGCGATGAAAAATAAATGATTAAATTTATTGTTTTGAACTTCTTATTCAGGCAATATAGGAGCTAAATAGGTCAAAATGAGATGGTTCAGGCAATTTTTTGGCATGCTGAGGATAAATGTATACTGATTTCATGTATATAATTGTGGTGTGAAACGCTAAAATTTAAATTGTGAAACAATAGACATTTTTGCGTCTAACTAAAGAATCGGTAAATATTTTATCAAATAATTTAGGCCTTATGGAAACTTCTTTATGAATTTATGAAATTTTTCATATCATTTGTAAGTATCGATGACGCTGTATTTACAAGCTTACTTTAAGTTATCACATTAAGATAAGGATTTAATAACCTTTGAACAGACTAAACCTATTGCTCCTTGATCTTGCTCTTTTTTCATCCAAAGGCAAGCCAATTCAGTGTTGGACACCACAGGAATTCACTCGCAGCTGGGAAGAATACGCAGAAAACTATTGCTGGGTAGCAAGCACCTACTACATCCCTTCAAATCAACACAGAGCTATATATCTGCCGATTGGGAAATCTGGTTTCATTTCAACTACAGGAAACGAGTCGCCAATTATTGAATATCAGCAAAGGATGTACACGGGCCGTTTCATTCTCTACTATCAGTGGGCTCCTATATTGTTGGCTGTGCAAGCTTTACTCTTCTACATACCCTGTTTGATTTGGCGGTTATTTGCACCAAGATCTGGATTTCAGGCAAGTTTTTAATTGTACCTATTTGAAACTTTACCTACACTTTTATTCCAAACATATATTTTATTCTTCTAAAAAGCGTTAATTAATAAGGATCAAACTTAAAATCTTGGTTAGCACACTAGTTTTCTCCAGACCTGTTCTATACTGACGTTTTTATTAAACTGCATATCTGCATATTAAGCTGAATACTAGCAAAAGTATTTAGCTCATATCGCATTGTTAACAGTTTATACCAATGGCTCCCAAACTTTTGCTAGTCGCGGCGCCCTTTTCCAATTAAAATCTTTCTATGGCACCCTACCCTAAGTATGACTATTTGTAAGTGATAAAAAAAATAAAACTCGTGTATTTTCATTATTTTTTTACTTTATTAATATTTAATAATTAATGTGATGGATGAGACTGCAAATCACAACACATTTTCTCAAATTAAATCTTTTACAATATTTCGTGGCGCCGCTGGGCGCCGTGGCGCACAGTTTGGGAATCGCTGGTCTCTTTTTTGGGTACCACGAAAGTTGACCTGCAGCAAGGCTAGCACCACAATTCGCAATGGCCTTATATCATCCTGCATATGATCAAAGGCTTTAATGATTACCCTATCCTTTATAACTAGACAGCAAGTTTTATACCATTGTCCAAGTAGTCATTTATCATTCATCTAGCTAAATTCTTTCAATTAATGTAGTTCAAGTTGAATGTTTTATACAATTTTGCTTCTTATAATAAAATCATTTGCAGTTTTATAGTAATATATAATTTAAATCCTTAGTCATTTAGCAAAAAAGCTATAGAAAAGGCAGCAATAAGTGCATGTAATTAAGTTTTATGTAAATCAGGGATTATAATGCTGTATTACTGCAGCCATTGTTTCTTTAATACACCAGTTGGATGGTTTAACTTATCATCACTTAGCTATTTACAGTAATCATGAAATTTATCTTTCAAATATTTGAAACCTATAATAGTTCTGCCCTGAGGGGCTACAAAAGTCTAATAAATATAACTTACTTGAAATGACCACACTTTCTTGCTCATTTCAAGTCCTAGATTAATTCTATAAAGACAGTATAACGAGAAAAGTAAGTGGTTACATAAGTGTTTAAAAATACTTTTGGATGCACCTCTATAACTCCTCTGCCTTAGAATGTGACTACTATAGAGCACGCTGGGGACCTTATTTACCTCCCTTTAAAGAAGTTGAGGTAGCAGTAAACAAAATTTTATTTTCTCAAACTTCACTGTTTACTTTCAGCTTGTGAGGTGATACAATCGAACTAACATTTATATGCATACTAGCTTTTCACTAATGAAAATAAAAAATTTGATAAGGGCACAGTCAAAATCTTAAATATACTACGCATACTCTTATATTTTTTTTAATTTTTAGCTTACTAATTAATCCTAATTAGATCAAACATAATACAATTAAGGATCTGATGCGCAAATTATTTTATTT